GCGCTCTCTCTCTCTCTCTCTCTCTCTCTCTCTCTCTCTCTCTCACTCACACACACACACACACACACCAAACAGGGAAATAATAATAAATAAAGTTAAATAAAATATTTTTTTTTAAAAGTCACACTGATTTGGGACCAGCAGTTAGCGTAATGGCTATGTTGCTGGGCTCCCACGTAGCTGACTGCGGTTCGCGTCCCGGACCCAGTGGCTTAAAACTCAAGCCGGACGCATGTGCGTGCATGCCCAAGATCCCGAGAGGAGAATGGAGGAGAAGGGATTGTGGCGTGACCATCCCCCCTGGGGGGTGATTTCTCACTTTCTGTCTCTCTGTCTCTCTCTGTCTGTCTGGCAAGCACATGTGCCCTATAGCAAAAACCTCTTAAAAAATAAAATAAAATAAATAAATAAAAAGTCACACTGATTTAAGGAAAATTTGTAATTAAATCCACCACATAGTAGAGCACACGCTAACCAAGCAGTTCACCTGTGTAATTCATCAGATTTACATTAAATACATAAAATTGGAGAGAAAAACAAGTGATAGGAAAAAACTAGAGAAGGCTGAACTGGCGCACACATTTTACACATTCGATTTTGTCAGGAGTTAAAACAGTTGAATCTTAACCCTGCAAGGAACTTGTAAGTCATCCAGCATACCTGTGCAGGAAGTCTTTTAGCTGCATCCCTGTGTAAGAGCATTTTAATTCATGTCTGTTTCCGTCAGTCAGAGTCCACCTCGAGACGGCTTGCTCTTCCAGCCCAGTCATTCTCCATTCTGGATCACATTAGAATCACGTGGCGAAAAAAAAGCCAAGCCGCTCACACCACACCTCAAAGCCATGAAATAAGGATTAGTTGTTAAATCTCTCCAGGTGATTCCAATGTGCAGTCAGGGCTGGGAGTCACTGCCCAGGTATTTCAAAAGCCTTTGTCATGTTAACCTATTACAAAGATTAGATCACACCAAGCAGAAGGTATAGTCAGTCTTACATCTTTGTTGAACAAATAAATGTCTGCTTCTTGTGATTCTTGTCTGTGGGTCCTAGGCCAGCGTTGGAAATGATAGCGATTGTCCACTGCTTTGTCAGTGCAGACTTTGCAAACTCGCAGACTGTTCTCACATGACCGCTTCATCTAGTTTTCCAGATACATGTCTCAGGCTCCTTCAATCACTTCTCAAGGCAAGGTTTCTTGGCCTCTCTGTATCCTACCATTACCCTCTTGGGTGTATTTTATTTTATTTTATTTTATTTTTTATTTAATTATTTTTTTGGAGAGATTTTCACTGTAGGGTGCGTGCGCTCGCCAGACAGACAGAGAGAGACATAGAGACAGAAAGCGAGAAATCACCCCCCAGGGGGGGTGGTCACGCCGCAATCCCTTCTCCTCCATTCTCCTCTCAGGATCTTGGGCACGCACGCACACGCGCCCGGCGTGAGTTTTAAGCCACCGGGTCCGGGACACGAACCGTGGTCGACTACGTGGGAGTCCAGCGACATAGCCATTACGCTAACTGCTGGTTCCCAGTGTATTTTATTTTTTAAATATTCTTTTTTCTCATTAATTAGATAACTTCAAGTTGAATATAAAACATAAAAAATGAATTGAAACCTAGAGGAGTACGTGTATATAAGATACTTAAATCTCTAAAATTAATTAATAATAAAGTAAAAAATAGTGAGAGGCATTACATGCTTATTGGGCTTTTATCCTTTTTTTTGTAGAGGTTTTGCCTTAGGGTATATGCACTCACCATGGAGAGAGACAGAGACTATGAGAGAGAAAATGAGATATCTCCCGTCGGGGGGATGGCCACACTGCAATCTCTTGTACTTCATTTTGCTCCCAGGATCTTGGGCACACACACACACACACACTCCTGACATGAGTTTCAAGTCATCAGGTCCAGGACTCGAATGGTGGTCAACCATGTGGGAGTCCAGTGATGTAACCGATACACCATCTGCTGGCCCTGGTTTTTACTCTTCTTGAGTGCTTGCACTCTTTATTCATTAAAAAAAGAAAAAAAAATCTTTTGTGGTGCCAGCAGGTCACAGTGTGGTGGTTAGGGTGCTGGATTCTCACATGGTTCACTGCAGTTCAAGTCCCAGACCCAGTGGCTTGATAAATCCCACCGGGCACATGTGTGGGTGTGCCAAAATCCCAAGAGGAAAATGGAGGAGAAGGTATAGCAGCATTACCATTCCCCCTGGCGGGGAGGTGCTTTCTCACTTTCACTTTCCCTCTCTCAGTCTCTCTCGCATGATCCCTATGGCAAAAAAACAAACAAACAAACAAAAAACAACTTTTTTGTGAAAACCAGCTTTGGATGTGGGTTTCTAATTATCTAGGTTGTACTTGTCAAAATGTGTTCATTACAACACTATCATTTCAAAAGTTTAAAATAATTCCATAGCAGAGAATGTTGATATCTTCACAGACACACACAAAACACAAACACACACCACTCCCAAATATACATTATTCCGTTTTCAGGTTGCTAAAGATAGAAGCGCAGGGTTCATAACCTTTCCCACAAATAGCACTGTGCAGCTGTTAATGCTCTGGGCCCTGTGGTGGCTCCTGACTGCCACGGCTGGGTTTCAGAGTGGATGGTGTAGGGCTGAAGCCAGCAGAAACATGCCGAGTAACTTTCCCAGGACCTGAATAGCGGGCTTTAATCCCACAATGGAGGCTACTTGGAAACATGGTATTCCATTCCTGTTTGCTTTATCTTTGCAGACCCATCCCTGACAGTGAGAGCTGACATCACTGGAAGATATTCAAACCGTCTCTATGCCTACGAACCTTCAGATGCAGCTCTACGTAAGTATCACCTCCAACTTGGATTTTGTCCAAGTGCTGAGCATCTCTGTTGCCCTGGTAATGAGTCTAGGGGCTACAGGGGACTGAAGGAGAGCTCTGCCTGGACGCCATCGGTTTGACCCTAGCTAACCTTGTGTCCTCAGGAACAGTGTCCTCATCATATTCTTTCCACCTCAGTTGGTTTTTTTTCTTTTTCAACCTCAATTGAAGATGAATTATTTAGACTGGGTATCTTTCTCTAGCATTCTGTTACCACAGTCTCTGCTTTCCAGGTTTTCTTATAGGGACACTAATACACAACTTTTGTCATGGAGGTGAGCGCAATATTAGAATAATGAACATCCCTTTTATTCCTCCAAATAACCAAAGTGAAATAAATTAGTATAGCGTATTGAAACTGAATTCAGGTTCAATGTAAACATCAGTTGGAAAAGGATTCAAATAGTTGCCAAGATACTCACTTTCCCT